TATATTATATATATATATATATATATATATATATATATATATATATATATATATATATATATATATATATATATATGTATATATGTATATATATATGTATATAGCTAGCGTTAAAGAGTCAACTTAGAACTAGTCACGGACTCGGAGAATCCGACTATCTAATTAAAACAGAAGGGACAAATGGCCCCTACCGGCGTTGACATATATATATATAATGAATTCAGCTCTTTCCTTCTCCTTTTCAAAGAAATCGAAGCTGGGATACCATGAATACCTAGATGCGTTGCGACCACCTTTTTTCTGAGAACTCAAAAAAGAAATGTACTTAATTAACGGGAGATAATTTATTTCCATGACAAATAAAACTTACATTTCGCACAGCCAATTCTAGAGCAGTTTGTCGACCAATACCATCCGTTGAACCCGTAATAAGAATTGTCCTTTTGAAGCTATCATGACTTTCATTTTTCGCAGCCATGCCAAAAAATAAAAAGAAAAACAGAAGTCTATTTTTTTAATTTAATTAATACATCATTTTTCTGACACATGTAACATCGTCGCAAACAAAGACGAGAAATGTTATTCTTCATCCATCCCTAATTATTGGTTAATGTCCATCAAAAAATTTTGCTCTTATTATAATAACTGAATAAGAATAAAGACGATGAAGAGTGACGATGAAGATGAAAAATGTGCTCTATTGGATAATCATCCCAGCTGTGAAAAATAATGAGCAACTATTTTTCCAAACCAACCATCCGGATATTAAATCCTAAGCCAATAAAAAGAAAGATCAACCAATAAATGCAATGTTCGGGTGGGTTAACAGATAACGACTGGAAAAGGATGGAATGGTACAAACAAGAAAAAATCATCCTTATCTGAGGACGACGCGGCAGTTATGGTGATGAATGAAATTCTTACTAGCTAATTTTAACAGGGATCAGTCCATTTACTTCTCCACTATGGCTTTGCCCAACTCTTCGACCGTAGTTTCTTCGAAGCTCTTGAACTTCTTCCCGCTGTCCTTTGATCTTTGTAATCGTCGCTAGAGCCTTGTAAACAACGGCAGAAAATTTTTAATTCCCGAGAAGAAGAAAGACAAAAGTTTTCGTAGCTTACTTTAGAGTAAACAAAACAAACAAATAACAAAAATGTAAAAAAAAGAAGAAAAACAGAAATTAATGAATAGAAGCAACAGAACCAAGAATTGCCTCAGCAGCGCATTGACTCGCCTTATAGCATTAATAAAGCAGTATATACAAAGTTGTGCTATCACTATGACAGTTTCAACAAGCTATTATAGTGATAGCATAACTTCATACGTACTGCTGGATTACTGATATGAGTATAGGTGATACGGTGTTGTAATATTCATGCCATTACTGTAGTAATAATTTATTTGACAGAAAACATACAGTGATGATCATCGTGAAGTATGACAGCGATACACGCATGGTACTTTTTGTGTTAGTAATATAAAAAGTCACTTTAAATCATAATTTCAGAACAATAATTATAAATTGAAGTGAGTTCTCTCAAGCATTTTGCACACAACTTCACTTTTAATCTCTGACCCTACTCTTTCCCATTCTGCAATTCTTTGGCCGTAATGTTCTAGGCCTGATTTTAGCTCCCTAAATTTCCATATTTCTCGACACTCGAGGAAATTCCTCAATAATATATCAAAATTTATAATTAAAGGAAAACCCCTATCCCATATGCCTACAACACCGAGCCGCGCTTTCCCGCAGAAAATGCTTCGTTTTGGAATTTAAAGGCAAGGGCTGCTTGCACTAAAAATTGCCTGGGAATTTCCAAAGTATAAGCTGGGTTCTTTGCATCAAGGATTGTAGTTCCAGACTATTAGAGGAATTAGCGGAACGCTAGCTGGATATTTTTTCAAGATCCCGATAAAACTGTGTATTCTAATGTGGATGTGGGTAATCTCCTGAATCCATGTGATGAACCTATGAATTCTTCATGAATATTTGCGAGTAATTTAAAAGGTATAGTATGAGTGACCATCTGAGACAGGATTCAGAGATTCGATAGATGAATGCTAAGGAATGGATTAATTCAAGTTTAGAATGTGTAAGGATGCAAGTAACGTATGAATTGCATGTTAACGTATGAATTTCACGCTATAATTTGTACAGGCCTCATTAGATTCGATGGTTTTATTTGACCCCTTAATTTTTAAATAGGACTTATACTCTGAATCCTGTTTTCATTGAAATAATGCTCAAGAATAATGATAAATAATTAACAAGAAATTAGTTCACTTTACGCCGTTAATTGGAATTAATTCTTCTCTTTCTTAATTCAGTAATACATTTCAAAACAATTATTCCTGCAGTTGATTTAAAATAATTTCGCAAATTTGGCGGATTTCAAATTAATTCGATGTCTGGCTTCATAAAAACACTCATGAATTTGAATGCTGAATCAATTTTAAGTCCACTGAATTTGCGAAAAGAAAATGTGGCTTAACGTCATGGCACTAATCAACCAGAATTGCGTAAAATATTGTAGGCATATCAAGAGGCAAAAAAAGGGATCGGTCAAGATTTATTAAAGTGAGCCTTTCTGGATTTATCTGAAAAAAGTTTAACTTTAAGCGTGAACGTAAACGACCAGAAATTTTGAATGAAGTAGGGCGATTGCTGAATTACATGGCATTATAATATTTATATAGAAATTTTTACCTAGAAATGAACTTTCGGAAAACTTGGATCGCGGTAATTTGAATGAAATGCTGTAGAAAGATAAAACTTCATATCAAATAGAAGTCTTATGAATGATAGAAAAAATGAAGAAGGTGGGATGTTCAAGTGAGAGGATAAAAATTGAAAATTTCGTATTACAAGCAGTTAATATACCTTCAAAATAAGTGAAAGTAGTAGCGTTGAATGATCTGAATTGATATTTTCAGAATATTTCAGAGTTCAAAATTTAAATCTTAAATTATGTCTTAGATGGCTTAAATCATTATATATAGTCTCACTTAATTTTGTTTGTTTATCTCATTAGCTAACTGATTTTGTATACAATTCATATCATTAGCTTATTTTATGGATAGAGAAAGGAAAAATCAATGCCAACCATATGTTCGAAAGTCTCTTGGATAATTTGCACTTCTTTCGAGGCTCTCTTTAATCATTCATCCCCACATTACTTTTCCATCCCTTTGATTCAAGCAGTTATTTGTCTTTCTTTTTCCCTGCTTTTCTTATGACGGACGCAATTAAATAGTAATGGAAAAGTATGAAAAAGCTTGGACGTGTTTTAGGCACAACAGGAAAGAGCTGTAAAGCAGGGAGGCAAAAAATTTCTTAAACGATGCCTTCGAGATTTAAAAAATCAAAACTTGTCATTTGCATCATTTCATTGTAAGAGGATAGAAGTGATAGCAGGTAGAAGGTCATTCCCCTCATGTGAAAGGTTAACACTTTGCATACTGAAAACATGAATTCTTGGTAAATCTATTTCACTTCCAGGTTCATTGTAAACTTACTATTGAAAAAAATAGAAAATATTTTAGTTTTGCCAAAATAGCTGGATAAGATACTTCAGGATAAATTGTTTGGAGCTTTAAAATTAGGATTCCTAAAGTACGAAGCGGGAAGATGTGAGCTTACAAACTGAAGCAAAAGCATACTGGTTTTAGTCATTGGAGCTGTATAAATATTGATCTAATTATCACTGGTTCAGCAGATTTCCATATTTAAATGGTAACGAGCTTCAGCAGGAGGCTTTTATATTACTGGTTCCTGCCATACGACAATACGTCCTTCGCAGGATGTTCGCTCAATTTCACCTGTTTATTCATAAGAACTTTTCATAAGAACCTGAAAGGAATTTGGAATTCCTATTCGAGATTTACTCTCCAAGTAATTACAAAGACAGCTCTATCTAAAATTAAAATTGTGCCTCAAAAATTTAAACGTCATAGTATGTGATATGAAATAATAGGATTTCACTGAAGCTAGAGCACTAGTAATATAAGTCTTAAAGATGAAATAATACTGATTGTCGGGAAAACCGAAGGAAATAGTAATACATTCAAACACCTAAAAAATTTGTTGTAAACAGTTTGTTGTATAAATTGGTAAATATTTTCTCCATTGCTAGAGGTCAATTTGTTGTATAAGGTCGATCGGTAAATATTTTCTCCTTTGTTAGAGGCCAACTTGTTGTCTAAGGTCAATCAGTAAAATTATCTTTTCCTTTGATGTTGAGACGATTTATGGTGATTTTCTTCTCCTACAAAGAAATCTAATCTTCTATGTAAACATCTCTTCTATCAGTGAAATTATTGTCTGCTTTGTAAGAATCTTAAATGGAGCTATTATCTTATCTTAAGCTCAACCCACTTGGGGGGAGGGGGGAGGATAAAAACCCCCAATAACCGCATTCTGACTCAGTCTTGATCATTCATTAACTCGATCATCCAAATTTAACAGTTCTATATCGAAGAGCACAAACGCCTGCTTCATCTCGTACTATTCGACCTTTGACTAACGGTTTAAATAGACTGTAATCCTCAATTCTTTCTTCTAATTTTGCTATCAAATAACACTGGGTTATTACTATTGCTATTCTTCTATTACTGAATAAAACCTTTTTTTTGCGATTCAACACATTCAAACGAAAACTTTCACGACAATGATATTAAACTAAGGAAAGATTCAAATGAATGAATTTAGGAGAAAACAGAACTGTAGATAAGGAACAGAAAGGATGGCTCTCTAGTTTTGAAAAAGTAGAACCGAAAAAAAACTGCAATCTATAAATTTGAAAGATTTCGGAGGAAGAACTTAACTGAGAGGAATTCAAACAAAAAAAAAGAAAAATTCAAATTGAATAAAGAGTACAAAGCTTTATGATAGTTCACCCTTGTCAGATTTTTCCCTTTATCCGATTTTTCATTTAAAGAATTAAAAAGGATGAACTGCAGATGGAAAATGTATACAGTGAACAGCACTAAATTCGTAATTGGAACTGTTCAAAATTATTTCTTTTGGAATCCCTCCGATCACAATAAACAAATTCTGGAACCAATATACACACATATACACATACAGAAAATGGAATATGGTCATGAATTATTGCGCCAAAAAGTACCTTCAGGAATATGTTCATATGTATCTGGAGAGGTACATATATATTTATTTTTGGCTCTTCTCTAATTAAAAAAAATGGAAGAGAAGTGGCTGGAGAACCATCCCACTGTTTCCTTTTTAAAAGTACGAACTCCTCTTTTCAGTTAAATAAAACCAAGCGACATATGACGAGAATTATACATACAATGGCCGCGTTTAATTTCGACTTTTGATTTCATGCCGTGATTTTTTTTTTTTGTGAATTGTGCGTACCGTTACACGAAACGAGTGGTTGTTGGGTACTGTTTCGGGTTGGTCATGCTGTTATCAGTGGAGTCCAGGCGTTAAGTTATATGTCAATGGGTGGAACTTTATTTTTTATTTTATTAACGGTAGCCGTTTTTGCTGGAAATGATATAATTGGTCTTGTACTTTTGCAGTTTTTAGGTTGACCTGAGAAAACTATCCATCATTTCAGGGAATTTCCAATTTCGTTAAGTAAAAAATATGTTGGATGAAAGGGAAATACCAATTGATATACACAGTAGCAAGCTTTTAGGTAAGTTAATTATCATATTTTCTATTAAATATTCGAATAAAAAGTTGCTTTAGATTGAATTTATTATCGACAACATATTGGCTTCCCACTGGTTGTTGTTTCAGACTGGTTGCTAAGTCGACGACACTGTAATAGGGATTGGCAAAAAAACGTAATGGTTATTCGTGAAAAGATTAGTGCTGCAATCCGGGATATGCCGGAAAATGAGCAGATCGTGAAATTACTCCAGGATTCCTGTAAGTATTCGAAAAGGCATTTGTTTTAAATGTACTGGATGTTAGATTTTATTTTAAAACCTTTCTACAATTGATAACTTTTGTAAGAAATTTCGCAGATATTAATTATTTTCACTGTGTTCGAATCGTCGATATCCTCAAAGATACAGAGAAGGGTACGAAGAATTTCTTGGGATATTATTCGTCACAAAGGATGAACGATTGGATGGTATGAATGACATTATCTTGAGAAGAAAGCTGTAGTCTTTTTCCTTTCGTTAAGTTCCTTATGAAGTAAGGCAAAGCGTATGATTTGATAAATGTAAGAATCTTTAATGTAATGTTGGACGATAATTCGTTAAAGTGGATTTTTTAGCAAATTCAACAAATGTATGAGAAAGGGAACATTCATTTGGCAGAAGCAGCTCAAATCTTTCAAAGGATGGTTCAATATGAAATCCCAGCTCTGAAAAAGCAAATTTCGAAATGTGACCAAACAATCACCGTAATTTTTTTAACTCTTTCAAGTTTTCCAAAAAAAGTTAGTAGCTGTGCTTATGGCTGTACTAAATACGATTTAATGTTTGTAGGAATGTGTGAAAAAGGAAAAAGAGTACGCGAAGCAAATGGTTGACAGCAAGAAACAATATGAAAAAGAATTATTGAGAATAGGTATTAAAGGTATGAAATTGGAATATATTAGTACTAGTACTAACTAGTACCGTAGCTCTGAAAAAGTACTAGTGCCGTAGCTCTCTTTTGATATATTAGTACCGCCTTTTAATATTGACGTCCTTAGTATTTTATTCTTTTTAATAATGACTTTAATAGTCGTTTCCTGTTATCATTCAGCATTCTATTGTCATTTCTAATATTCTATTTCTCAACAAAATTACTTAGGTGTCCACTTAAGACGAGAAATACTATCGTTGTTGACTGATTTACCATCGTTTTTGGACGAAATAGCGAAGTCTATATCGTCCTTGAATGAACCGCTTCAATATTATGAACGGTTTCAGGCATATCTGCATCAGTAAGTCACTTTTGTAGTTGCTCTTAAAACAACGGAAGAAATTTCTTGAAAATGATTTTAGTAAAACTTCAGAAAGACCTTAACAATGATAGTGTTAGCCCGAACTATCACAAAGGAAGCTTGTGGAATAGCATTTACTATCTAGTTGATGCTACTAATTGACATTGACATTATTTGCGCTAAAAATCATCCTGTACATTTTTTCTGATTTCTATTGTTTCCTGTTTATTTTTCGTTTTTTTTTTCAGGAAAGCGACACCGAATGTTATTTTGTTGCCATTGTGTCATTTATTGATGGAGAAGGGCGCAAAAGTTACAGTTTACGAGTGGAAGAATGGTGCAAAACCAGCACGCATTGAATTGCCCTCTTTCGATCTCTGGGTAAATGAAAAGGTAATAATTTGTTTTTGCGATTTAAAAAAAAAAAAAGAACTTAAAGTTTGCGTTTTTTAGTTCAGTTTGTTTCCAGTTTTAATTTGCTGGAAAGAGTTTTATCAGTTATCTGTATTTTGGAATAAATTAATAAAAGCATTTTACACATTATTAGACGAATAGCGCTGAAGAAATAGATTTTGGTGACCATCTTATTGTTCCTGATGATAAAATTGATTTTGGTGACAACGGATTTCAAATTGAAGTCGTTGGAGACGAAAAAGGTAAGTTAAGCTGGGGTTGCTTTATTGGTACCTTTTCCCTTTTCCACTAAAATTGTGGCGAAGCTTATGTCTATGAGCTTAGTCTAGTTTTGTAACTGACTATCCTGCAACTTTTTCTTTATAGGTGATATTAATGATGGAATAGCTCGAGGACTAGATGCACTGACTGTACTTGAAAATCCTCAGACCCGGAATCTTATTTACTTCGAATTAAAAGAGGTTAACTGTTCCTATAACTCTTCAATTTCGTTATTCTATACTGAACAATAGATAATTTATTTCAAGCAATTTTCCATCTTTTTCTTTTCCATTAAGTTTTCTTTTACAGTTGGAAAAATTTTTGGTAATGCGAAAAGAAGATGAAACTGTAGAGAGTGTGTCCGATATTTACATATTAGGGTTAGAGGAACGACCTGCGGAGCTAAGAAAGGTTTTTTTTTTGGTTCCCTGGTTTCTTTTTTCTGATAATTCTTCAAACGAAACATTCTCTTCAAGAAAAACATTCCTGATTTTAATAACATAGTTTTAAAAGTTCATGGATTTGCAGATTACTGCGGGAAAAATTGGTGAATGGTCGATGCATGTAAAGGAGATTATCAACAGATTAACTGATACTCAAAGAACTCATTTATTTCGAATACATTCCTCACCTCAGTAAATATTAAGCAACCACACTGTTATTTTGATAATCTTCTCAATTATTTTGTTGTGAAAGAGTTATGAAAAAAATTTTTTTTCAAAAATAATTTTGAGCCGCTTGCTTAACTTTCATTTTTTCGCTTTTACTGAAAACCGTTTTCTTGTCTATATGAGTTTGTGAATTTTGTATTCCAATTTTTAAAACTTAAAGAATTGAAATGTAGTTGCGTTGATTTGAGATATGTTGAGAAGCTGGTGGAAAGTTTGGAGCAGAAACGTTCTTTAGAAGAACGTTACGAAAAAATGAGAGACTTTATGATAGAGAAACAGAAGGAAATGCGAATCAACATGCAGAAAACGCATAAAACATTGAGTGGAGTTGTTGAGGCTAGCAAAGTATTGCAAAAGGAAGTAAGTTCCAGTTCCTTACTATTTCGTTGTTAAATACTTCTAGCATTTGCTACTTTTCAAGATTATTCCATTTCTGTAATTCTTCAGAGATTGGAAGAAAAAAAAATTTCATTCGGAGAACATTGGTTTACTATTCATTGTTTTTCTTCTTTTCAGATTGAAAAAGAAATCTCAAAGATGTATAAAGGAAGGAAAGTAAACATTATGGGTGGTATAAATGCTGGTTGATAATTTTTTGATTTACTCTGTCTTATCAGTAATACTTACTGTGATATGCTGCTCGATTATGACCTAGTGATCGATTAGGACCTATTATGACCCAGTTGTAGAATAGAATTTTTCTATTGCTTAGTTTTTATTTGGGTGTTTAAAGTGTTTCTGGGTTGTTTTTTGATGACCAATCAATTTAATTGGGTTAATAGGTTGTGAATTTCAGCTGTTTTTTTTCTTAAGTACTTTCCGGGAATTTGTTAATAGTACGTTCAAGTTTTATGCAGTTTAAGGGGATTGTTAAGCAAGGGCATACTTTTTGTTTTGAGTGAATTAATAGTTACTGATACGCAATGGGAACACTTGTTTTGTTTGTTTCTCGGAAATCTGAATCATGTGTAAGTGGTCCTGTAATCTTTCAGTGATTTTCTGACTCACAATCATTTCTTATTGCTTAACATGCTTATTAAATGCCTAATTTTTGCATTGGAACTATTCATTAAACACACCACATCATTTTCAGAATTCCCCAGAATTCATTTCAAGTTATAGGTGAGAACATAGGGATTTATTTGCTAACTTTTCCCTGGAAACTGGTTTTTTTTTTGTCTGATCTTGAACTGTTTTTATCCAGTCATGTTGTCTTATCACGTTTATCAAATTTATGATTCCCTGATTTCTGTATCATTTTTTTCTTTGAACCATGATTTGACTACTGCTAAAGCAAAATCATATTGTTAATCTTCGTTTGAGTATTAGGTCAGCTGGTTGCTTATCGTTTTTCTTCACGCTTTGTATTTACTGATCAAATTGCAACTCTTTTGTTAGTCGGCGTTAGAATTATAAGACAGCATTATTTCGGTTATTTGTCACCTCATGACATGACTCTGCTAACATGGCAGAGGATTTCTCATCTCTTAAAAATTGGATTTTCTTTTGTAGGTGGCAATAGGATTCATATAAAATATACAGATTTCATTTTGAAGTTTTGGATAAGTGACTGGCGATTATGAAGAACAGATATTAAAATTTATTTCCATCCTATGTATTGCAGTACATCTGCCCAATAATCTGATTGTTCGTTCCTCCAACTTCTTATTTAGCAATTTGCTTTTCGAGACATCGAAATCTGATTATTTCTATTAGATAGTATGTTTAAGAAAAATTTCATCGAAATAAGATTTTGAAAAGGCTAGAGTAATATTATTTCTCTCCATCTTTTTTCAAACTTTCATAATCAAATTATTACGCGAAACTTGAATTTAACTGTAAAAAACTGATTACCAAATTGCGAAAAAATAAATTTAAATGCTTGTGAGTCGAGATAGATTTTTGTTAGAAATTTTCAGTTTTTTGACACTAATCCTTTTAAAATAAAATTGATCTTGATGACCACGTGGAACTTTCTGTTGTCCAGTAATCTACTTGGTTATCAAGCCTTGATATCATTTAACTTGCACCACATCTAAGTTTTTTTCATCGTTTTTTGCTTCACTTCCTAAAATACCCTTACTTTTTTCATCAAGTGAAACTTCAAGTACATGTCTAGAGTCTTCAAGAAAACAATTATCGAAAGAATATTCTTTTCCATACTTTCCTTTACCGCAATCGTTGCAAGTTATTTTAAATGAGCTGGAACCAGTAAATATTATTTGAACAATTCATGAATCGATTATCATGCAAAGATCCCAGTAGACTTCAAGCTCGCATACCGAAATCGTTTTCAGGGAAATTTTCGGAATCAAACATTTACGATGTGCCAAAATATTCCTTCAACTTAATATGCTTTTGATGATTTCTACGTTTCAAGATAATCAGTTTTTTTGAATATATTTTCAACAATACTTTTTGGACTTTGCTATCCGGATACATAAAATCCAGATAAGTTCATTTTGAAGTGTTGGATAAGTGACTGGCGATTGTGGCAAACAAATGTTAAAATTTATTTCCATCTCGTGGATATGTATCCATAAAAGGTGTCCGGAAAAGAATTGCAATGTATTTTAGGTGTAATGCTATACAAAATCGTTGCTACTGGGCTTTTTTAAGCAAACCTATGGTGATAACTAATACTTTTTAAATACATTTTCTTAATTAAGCTTCTTTAAGTGTGATGAATTTTCTTCCCTCATCTCGTTTGAATAGTTCGAATGCTTTAAACGGATGCATCTTCATGTAATTTATTTGCAGGGCTAAGAAGGAAAATGTATGATACAAAAGATTTCAAACAGATCGGGAAAAATAATTGGAATTGCTGTTATTAGCTGAGCTGACCGGTCTGAATACATTACATTTTGCATTACATGAGAGAATTCAAAACTATAAAATCAACAATAATGTAAAATAGTCGATATTGTTATTCGTAGTAGAAAGTGTGACCGTATCGTTGTTGTCAGAAAATGAAATCAACTGATTGGAATAGATCAGATGATCGATTTTATGTTGAAGGTAATATTCCTTCCTATTAGCTAGCATCTTTTAGCTCATCGATATTATTAATCAACCATCTGTGCACATGTAAATTATTAATTTACAAAGAAAATAATTACTGTGCTAAGAATGGGATATATATTCCGATAGCATGCAGTTGTTGAGATGAGGCACTTCGTCTGTAAATGATGAATGTTCAATCTTTAAATTGCATTTGAAACTTGCAGATGTAAGAGTATTAAATGCAATTTCTGTCGAGTTGTACCTTTCATTGCTTACTGTCGTCTATTCTGTACTACAAGGAACGATATTCCAAAAGCCTATTAGTGGTTTGTTATCTCCCAAAAGCATTGCTAATCAATATCAATGGTTATGATAAAACGATTGTGAAAGATGCAGATAGTAATTAAGCCTAAACCAAATAGATTATGAAAGGCTGGTCAATCAACATCTTTATAATAAAATACGGTATGTTGTGTCAGATTATGGATTAAGACTCAAGAGGTTAATACAGCTTGGCGTACGTGATAATGATTACAGCAATGTTATTTGCGATTATTGGGCTCACGCAGTTGCGACTTTTCTGGTTCTTATATACGGGATGGCGTTACAAATCGTTTTATCTCCTACGTATGCACTTCATCTTATCACTGTTTTGCATCACCGCTATATTCACACTATGTATTATTATCGGATTCCTGGACATATACGTTATTGGACCATTTCAATACACACATTTAAGGTGATCACTTCTACTTTGAATTTCAGTAATTAATTTTTGTGTCCACAGCATTTCAACATGATCTACTTCTATTGCTCAAATTAAGTTCAGATTTAAAGAAAGGAAGTTGAAGTAAGAGAGAGCAGAAGTTTTAAACGAGCTCAGAAAGACTGAAGCCATTGGTGGTCAAAACTGGTTCCAAATGTGTTGAAAAATGCATTTTGATTTCTTCGTCATCTTACTGATGTGATACGAAAAGTAGTATTCTTCTAAAGTTTAAGTTAAAGGGACTAAACTTCCAGAAATCACTTCCAGTCTCACGTTTTGGTAGCGCTGTGTTCGTTAGTGCCATTTATCATCGGTTTCAATGCAAGTTGGCGATTTTATTGGGAATTGAAGAATGAATTGCGTAAATCGGATCCGGAATATCTGCTCGCTGATGAGTCGTAAATTAACGAAAGTACTGAGAGAAAATTATCAAGAGAAAACTATGACCCTTTGCAATTGAAATGGCAATTCGAAATGAGTGCATTCTATTATACACTTCGAATATTGATTAGCAATTCTCTACATCGCTTTCAATATCAACAAGATGAATAATAAATAGGGATTTACCCGGCCACAGGCCGAATAAAGATACTCCAGGCATTGTTGATTTTAGGCTACAAACCTCCAGTCTAATCATGCACTTCCATCATATATAAATATGTCTTATCTATTCAAGCTGAGAAATCGTGGACACTGTAAACAGCAGCTATACCTTAGTGGATCATTTTGATAGCAGAAAATATGTTAAACTCATTGTTTCTGAAAGTCCTTTCCACCATTTCCCTAATGTGAAATGAGAAGTTTAATCATGACATTATCATTCCTTTATTTGTAATGTTTACTCTCTCAATGTCCTCGAAGAAGGAGCTGCTAATGGATTGTCGTCAATCAGCCGACAATAATTCAAAGTATCTTTGAATAGCAGATACTGTTAAACAGTTCTGCTAACTTCCTTTATCTATCGTCGTACAAGGTATAAGAAGCAAATGAAAATAATTTTCGAGTACAAAAGCGAAAATATTTCGCGAAGATATTATCTACTGCCAACTATTTTGAACCATTCATGAAATTTCTACTTTAAGAAGTATATAATTTATTGCGTTGCTTTAAAGTCACATAATTGTAATGAAATGTGATAACACAACCAGTTACATTTGAAAGTGATCTTGAAAATTGAAAGAAGCATGATTTCAAAAGCCTGAAAATTCCAAATAATGACAAAAATTTACTGCGACAATTAGTTTTGTTTGAGAGAGAGTTTTGTTATTCAATTTATAAAATCTGTAAATTCTCAGAAACTTTTGTAAATTTCGCAAAAATTCTCCAAATTTCTATTCAACTACAATGCACGCCACCGCAGAAACGCCCCGATCGATCTACCATTGCATCCATTAAATTGTTAATGAAGTCAAATCCTGTCTTCAACTGCATGTGCGCCGTCCCCGTAGTGTCCGCAATTACCTTTAAAATAAAGTATGAGTATTCAATAACATAAATATCTTATCTTTGGCTTCGGAACAACCTGTACTACCAAGAGTATCGTTTGTTGATTTTAGTTCAGGCTCTCATCCTCTGTCCCTAATAACCCCAGGTCAGCAAATTTTACGAAATTTTTTAAAAGTGAAAAAAAATTTTTTAACCAAAACCTTTCGACAACCAACATTGATGAGCGAATCGAGGCCTAAATTTTGCCCCGCAGGCTTCTTCTTCAAACATTTTTCCAGCGCCTTATCGATGACCTCAATCCAATCGTTCACTGGTGTCCTCCTAAATAAGCATTCAAAAGTTATCTCATTGAATTTAATTTAGTCGTTAATATTTCGCAGCGCATGTTATCCAATGTATACTATGTGAAACTTGAGCGTCATCCTAGTCAAGAAGACAAACTTGAGAATGTCTGGTCATAGCCAAAGCCAAAAACACAAAAAGCGCAAAAGGAAATTTGATATCACTTTTGATAAAAATCTCATGAAAAGTTGAAAGGGGAAGTGTAGCAGTAATTGAAAAGAAAAGTTTCAGAAAAGAATTGGAATATTTCAAATGCTAACACCAAGGATTTGATGCTTGACGTACACTGATCCACTTTGCTACCACCGCCGATCGATGCTGCACCACGATCGTTACTATTAATGGCCTGAAATCATGTGTTATTGCAAAGACTATTATTCATAAGTTGTTGGGGTCAAAGGCCATGTTTTGAATTAAAATTACAGATGAGTAAGACAAAATAATCCCAACAAAATTTTGGATACGTATAGCTCCCTAAAGTTAAACATGTTTTTAGTACGCACACAATTATGAATAGAGTTACTTGCTCTGACTTGTTTCTGGCGTGTGCTGAACACGTCAAAAATGCATATAATATACGGGAAATTTTAATATCATCCTATGACATACATTGGATGGGTAGATAATCTTAAATATAATTTGACCAAAGTTCAAGTTTAAAACAACATGTCAAAGAGAAAAAAGAGCAGTCCCTTCGATGATACTTTCAAAAAATAAAAAATCTTCCTATTAATCTGTTAATTTAATCTTTCAGATTTCATCTATTCTAATCTGTTGTAACATGGATCTGTGGAAGTATAAAAAAAAAAATCAAGACATTCTGTAACAAGCTGTGGTCGGATACAGAAAACGGATTTGAAGACAGAGAAGGAGAAATTTGCTTAGTTTTGTAAAAGCTTTCACAGAGACTAAAGAGATGAAGAATTGAAGAAACGTTGAAAACCTCGGTAAAAGTGGAAGATCACAGATGATGCTTAAGTCGAAAAAACGGAACTGATTTTGGGTGAGATTTTGCACTGGATCTAATTTTATATGCTAAAATGACTTACCGTTTCTAATAAGTCAGTAAACTTTCTTCTTATGTCTGAAATAACAATTCTGAATTAGAATTAATACTAACATTCCTGATGGCCTTCGCAATAGAAGCAAGGCGATTTTTGAGTTCTGATCGAGTATTCTCAAGACATTCGCAAGTTGCCTTGTTTAACTGAATAGTTTGTTTTTGACATGCTTCTGGGATTTGATTTTCACAATCCTTCAGAACTACAAAATATAATCTGATTATACTGAATTTGTTCTTGCAAGAGGATTTAATCGAAAATTCAATGTGAAATATCGGACTGAATTGCTGAAATCTTTAAATGATTATCTATCTGCATTCTTTGCTGGAATAAACCTCTATCATAGTGGTTGGGAAGAGATGAAGAATTTATGGCACATGGTATGAATGGCGATATTGGCCAGTTCTGGAGAACCAAAGCAAATCGGATCTCTTTCTGTGAATAGAACTGATTAAGAGTAATCCATCAATTTCTGTTCCTATGTTTATCTCATTTCTGTTGCGATAATTTGTCGCAAAAATGATTCGGAATCCCGACTAAAAAATTTTGCGAATAATGTTTGAAATTTTAACCGTTGCAGTGTTTTGTAAGATATCCATCAAACGGATTCTTTAAACATCGTCTCGTAGCTTCTGCACGTTCCGGTTTACGTTCATTGCAGAATGCTGTACGACTGTAGATTAGAATGTGATCTGAGATCGATTTAATTCTGAAATGATTTACAAGTATTGACTAATTAACAAGTTCGATGAATCAGACAATAGTCGGATTTTCATTCGAATGTAGTACATACTTACACTTCATCCTTAAATGCATATGAACCTTCTTCGAAATCCGGAAACTCAGGAATATCAGCAAAATTGTTATTCTTCTGCAAGCAGTACTTTGCTTCCATTGTTACAGCTCTGGAAACTTCAGAACGTATACATTTCTGTTCTTCTGGTGAAGTCGACAACATTGCTTTAATTGCGCCATTAGCGAACTGCAATTAACTCAAGTCATTCATGCTATTACTGAAATTCAATCTTCTAAGATTTCCACTCATAATTGCTCAATTAAAACCCTGAGCTCGAATACCACTTATGGCACGAGTTTGAGTTTTTGCGCAAATGCACTCAAAATTACTGCAATTAATCAGCTTAATTAATTATTTCTGAAGATAAAGATACGGTAAAACAAATAGAGAGATAAAATAAATATGAGAAAAATTAGAACAACCGTCCGACAAATGGAGCAATCACGCAACGGACCGTTACGATCCCAAGCCTTGTTGTCCAGGTCAGAGAGCGCTAAAACGCATCGGTTTGCTTGATTGCCTTCCGCAATAGTTTGAGCAAAACAGGATTTGATTGCATGACTGTTAAATTAATGATTAATGAGTTTCAAAAGAAGAATGGAGACTTTTTTCTTAAAATAACCAGTCATTTTGTTAATTACTCCGAGAAATGAAGGCTGAAGTTAAGATCGAGATCGTTCAAGTTGAAAATATGGCTTGCCTAAGTGTTACTACTACTTTTCGTAAAAGTTACTTATTATTGAGAAGTATAAGCTTGCAACGCTTCAGTTACTGGTTTGATTAAGACAAGCAAATGAGTATTTAATTAATCACCCCGTTAATTGGGAGAGTTTAAAGTCTTACCTCTTAATTTAAAAAGTTTTGAAATGTAGTAGTTTGAAAAGTAACCGATTATGTTCCTTGATTTCTTTTTCCAAAATACCGTAAGTTACTGGAAACACTATCTTTAATGCATTGCATATGATTGCTGAAGGATGACAGTAGGGAGCAACTCTGGCACCAGCCAAATGCCTATAAATTATGAATTATTTTAATAAAAAATTTTTTCAAAGGAATTTATAGTTTTCGTTGATTTTCGCCTTTCTCTCTGGTCTTCTTCAAATTTCAAGAAAAAGACAAACAAGCAAACAGTTGAACTAGTCTATTAGTCAAGCAATAGATTATTATCAGTTAATTTAATCGAAGATGTCATCAAACAATTTTCCGAGAATTGCACAACTAATCACTGTAGAATAGAAGAATGATCTTGAAAGATCGTACTTGGTGCTTAATTCAAATCACATGGAACTTATGTCACCTCTGTATCATTCATTTGTCTATTGTGCTTTAGTATTCGCTAAGCAATTAATTCCAATATTTCTCCAAAATTTGAGAGCTAAATTCAAATTTTAGTCCAACTCAAAAACCAACAATCCAAAAAAATGCGCTGGTCAAGAAAGTTTTTGGTATTATACAATTTGAGACACATTGGCGACAGTATAATCAACTATAAATATGTTATAGTCGTTTAAAAATGTGCAGTTAAGATTAGTAAGGATCGTATATTGGTTTAATATAATCCGTAGAAAATTCTGTATCACTAGATTTGAATTCAATTCAAAGATGGAATGAGTATTTGATGATAATAGTTTTAACAAATGTTTATCGTGTTAACGATTAACAAAGTACAAATGATAATTTTCAAAAAATGAAAGTTTTCTTAGGTGAAAACGAAGTTTGAAAATTTCAGTTTTGCATTTGAAATTGTTATTCAAACTAGAACTTCCATTTGATGGTTGAATACTCATCAGAAAATATTGAAATAAAATGGTAAGTCATATACGAATACACCACCTGTACTTTAGAACCAAATAAGCAATTAAGTTTCTTCAATGGACATGCCTTGAAAAATGCGTAATGCTTTTTTTTGGAGTGAAAATTGAAAAAAAAACGTTTTAAATGATTGATTTTTTTAATGTTTCGAAAATTTTCTTGCACTGGCAATAAGAATTACTGTAAAATTCGGTAAATGTTTGATAAGATGACAGATTGCCGATCATTAATGTTACCAGCAAAGATGCATATATATGATTAGATTAAACCTGAAGGTCAGCCTTATGAGGTAGGAGGTTGATTTTTATACCGAGATAATAAGTCGAGACTACTTCCCATTCCTTCTTTCTGTTCGTCTTTCCCTTTTTCTTTCTCTTCCCCATTATAAATCACATTTCGAATTTTAACTATGACCTTACTAACAAGCAGTCTTCACTTTCGACAATTACTGATGATGAAAATGATAACAGTGAAGTCTGAGAGTGCAAAGAGTAAATTAGGTGCTCATAGCAATCTTTTTCTTTCAATAGCAGGTTAAAAATTTTGGGCGGAATTGACTTACCGTACAAACAGCCACAGCAATGTATAAATTCAGCCAATGCTTCATTTTATTTCTGAAAATTTCACAACTTTTTTAAAATAATTTAGGAGGAATGCGAAATAGGACAACAACGCGAGAATCGAAGACACTCAATCAATATGAAATTGATGGGCAAGAATGGGAAAGGATAAAAATCGTAATTAATTCATTTGCACTGCCAAATAAAGCTGCAATCTACTCTATTTTTAAATAGTTATTTGCGTGATATGCGCTTGTCCTTATATTCTTGAAAGAACTGCATATAACTGTCACCAAACATCCAGAAAGTCCTCGTGAAAGTGTTGACTAATCCTGCTTTATTTCAATAATCAAAATTCTTATCTGACAATAATCGCACATGAATAATTTGATTCAATAATAATAACAATTCAAAGCAATTTTATTATTTTGAAGTGATAAATTATCCAGAATTCCAATGAATGCAACTTTAAAAGCCAAATATTATCTTCGTGATGTCAAGTCCGCCATTTAAAACTGCTAAGCAAATTAAAAGATTTCTAGACAAACCTTCATTATTTGGCTTAATACCTTCATTAATTGGCACAATACTCAAAAAGAAAAAAAAAAGCTGACAAAGCTTGAGATGAAGTAAGTGAGACCCGAAACAACTACCTACTAAACACTGCGCCATTTTGGAGTCTACCATTATACCATTACAACCATTGATACTTCATTTAATCAATAAAACAAGTTTTTATACTTTGGGATAAAGGGAGGTGTTTCATGCTCATTTTTTACTTACTTTTTTACTTTTTACTTCTATGAAATTTATTTTTAGCGGAAAAAAAAATCATTCCTAGCGTCTTATTTCTTCAACATTTACTTCACTCTCTTCAACAAATATCACCTAAACCACCATGACATAAGTTTGAGAAAACATGAATAATCATACATTAGCCAATCATCGGTGACTGTACAATTGAAATAATGTGACAACTTCACCTTTCGGAAAGATTCTCCCTTTACAACGGTGAAGTTAATGGAAACCTTTATTGGCTTCGGTAATGTTCGTTAGCGTTCGAGACAGTCGCTGTCTCCATCTTCAAACTTTGGGAGAACTGAAAATTACTTTGAACAGTTTCCGACTTCGTCCTATTCAATGATCGTTATTATGAATGCTTGAAAATTGTATATGCAAGCAAATTGGGCACACTATAGTGTGGTTAAATCCAGAAATGTAAGTTAAAATGGGTAAAATGCAGAGAAAAAAGTTGCGTGGAGTTCAGTTGTCAACCAGTCGAAATAACTGGGTAACCATAGGGTGGCGAGGTTAAGAGGGTTGACATGAAATTGCGGTCGACTGCGTGCTCCGAAATCGAAATCGGGATCGGTCATTTCTTTTATTCTCTCTCTACTCTGCATGAATTCATATGATCCGCATCGTATCATGGATCAAAAAATTTCATTCTTACGCATATTTATTTTACAAACAGGACAATGAAAAAAAGGTCGTCTTAAGAAGAGATATTGATGAGGTAGCGAAAGTAAATTGCCATTCACTGGGATATTTAAGAGAAGGTGTTGCCAAAGGCTCAATAATAGCCAAGAATTTTCTCGAATTAAGGAAGGGGAAAAATAAATATTTGATATTATCCAAATAATAATGACCGACTGATAAAAAGGGGAACAAATTGTTTCCAATTTTCTCATAAAAAAAGTAGTGATTGCTTTAAATTTCGTCTAAATGGTGAATATTTCTGACATGTTGATGAGATTTTAAACTAAACTTTAAAAAAAAAATTTAAAACTTTAAAAAAAAAAAACTTAAAACTTTAAACTTTAAAAAAAAAATCTTTAAACTTTAAAAAAAAAAAACTTTAAAACTTTAAAAAAAAAAAAAAACTTTAAAACTAACGCAAATTACTGTAGTAATTTGTTACTTTATGAAGTCAAGTTTTTTCCCCCTAACCTTTTTCCGGGAAGTGAACTTATCAGTTTTGGTAACAATTAACAATTGGTGCTTGAAGGTAGGAATAATGAAAACACTGCTACATGCAAATTAGATACAATAAAAAAGCTTTCTATGCATATTTTATGATGAAAATATTTGAGGAAAGGAATGATGAGCAATGGAATATTTGCTACAAATTTTGATGGAGAAAAATAGATTTCTCATTGAAAAGCTTAAAGATCACTGATTGAAGTTGGGAGATGTATGAGGAGAGATTCATAATGCTGCAATCGTGCTGATAAATACTTCTTGACTCAGTTTTCAAGTTATTCATTATAAAAGCTATGATACTATAAGCTCATATATTATGCTGTCTTGACCGCGCCACAAATGTAAGTTACTCAAACTCTGATTTCATTTTCAATCGTGAACGTTTTTATATAGCAGTAAATTTTGAATAACTTCGAAGTAAATCAGTTCGGCTTTATGAATTATTTATTAAACACAGTCTTTACGATGACAGATGAAACGAGACGAATATATTTTTTTATTATTTCTACACTTAGTGATAATCTACATGAAATCTTGCAGATTATTATCACCGATGAACAAATCCGGGAATCCATCATCATAACGGATATTGCTTGAGATACAGACCGAATGAGCAGATCGGAGCTTATACTTTTCGGTACAAACAATAAATAGCTGGTCACTAAATCTTCACATCAGAGAAAGTTGTACTCAAGATGCGAAACTTGAAAACTCCCCTATGCTTATCGATCATTACTAAATAAAAAATATAACTTAGTACATTATGAATAAATAACATATTTTATTGCTAGCAACAGGACTCAGTCAAAGACCGTGGTCTTTGAAGTATTAAAGTATTAAAGCAGGAGTATTACGCAAACGATCCTGAAGAAATGAAGCTCTCAGCTGACTTCGAAATTTTCTCAGAAATAGTGCGGTCAGAATATGAAAATTACAGTTGACTGATAGAAATATACTGAAAGTTGAATATTTTTATAGTAATTTCCAAAACCCAAACATAAAAGGGTATCTCCCCGCTCAGCTCACTGGAGCATCAAGGAAAGTCACAGGCACAACTCGATCCTTTTAAAGCACAAGTTGCAATCTGTAATTGAACTAGCTCAATACTGAAGTACCGTATCTGATGCAGTAATTGTTTTTCAGATCATCAAATATCCAATATCCAATCACCTATATCGTTGGTAATTTGATGTGAAAATTTTTATTAGTTCAATTTTTCTGTTTTTATACGAAAGACATTAAAATACAAAAAATTTTCGAAACGGTGCAACGGAGATCATACATTAATTGTGAATGTATATATCTGACAAGGTGATGTTAAAAATTATGTATTTCTGCACTCACATATGAATACGTCTTTATGAATTATACCTTTGTAAATAAACATAAAACTTGAATTTAATTGATTCTCACACATACCGACTGAGAGGACACAACTAGCGCATAGAGAGTGCGTTTGACTGCACAACACAAGGCGGAATGGGACATCCCTTTATTATGAGTATTCACCGCTTCGTATTGTCCCTTTTTACTGAAAGAATAGCACTTCTACTAGGAAACATGAATATAGTTCATAAAATAATTCATAAAAGTTCATACAAAAATATGCAACAAAATAAAGACCAGTACAACCAACAATTCGAAAAACGACAAATCTTCTTACAGAACCTGAGGAGATCGTCAATATATCGCTGAATACCATGTATTACTAAATCAAATAATTAACGATTCCCAATCCTGGTTAAATTGGCAATTTCCTTTTGTTTTTGCTCACTTACATCTCGGTACCCAGCTACTTCCAGGTGAATAGTTGCATGTCCGGAAGTTATAATTCGAATATTTTTGGAGAACCCTTGTAATTCAGCAAGTGGCATAATGCACCGAACAATATACGTATCACCAGTACATTCTATTCCAGACTCTGACACAACGCCTCTTCGCTTATAGACTTCTTGCAGTGTCATATCTGCGTGTCTTTTACTTGTTGCAACTATCTAAAAAAGCTGCCACAATAACTTTGAAAATGACTCAACTTAATGTTTGTATTCAAATATGCATTTTAAATGTATTTATTATGATCTGTATTTAAATAAAAATGAGATCAGAATAAGATTTCAGTTTAATTATCTAAGATTTTCGGAAGTTTTATAGTAAGAAATTCAGAAAATACCTCAGCATTCATTATAGGTTCCAACAAGTGTGTACCTGCCTTTTGTAAAGCCTCAGTTACACACTTATTGGCAGCAGCAGATATTATTGCAGGATTCAAACGTTTCCCACTGGCCACAAAATTTGTTAGTATCACGGCAACATCATAAACTGTGAAACCAGCTTGTGGTCCTGTGCACAGAGCATTAGTACAACCTTCATTAATTGCATTCAACCAATTTTCATGTATGCCAACACCAGCATATTCATTATTATCATCCAAAAGTACCACAACCTAAAGTGCTATCACATATTATTACATCAACTGATAGGCAATAAAAATGAAACGACGTAAAAATGCATCGTTGATGCAAGTTTTTAAATACTTTATCGTTAATTTTCGATATACAATCTTTGATGCACACCAATATGTTATTGACAACTCCAACAGAACGTTGGTTTAGTATTGGAATTTGAGATTCTGAACATCTTTTGACAGGCTGACGCTTAAACATTTTTGGCTGGTAGCTATATGATCTATGAATGAACAATGTTGAATTTCGTAGCAGTCATGATATTTTCCTATTTCAGCATCTCTTAATTTCAACTAAAGGTATCTCATTAGTTAATGAAATTCATCAGCAAATATTTAGTCGATATCTCTTCAACAATGAGTCAAACAAATGTTCGAATGTCTTTACCCAACTAACACATTTTAATCGGTTTGATCATACCAGACGATTCCAGTTATTTGCAACCTGTACGAATGTAACACAATAATAAGTCTAGCCTAAATTTCGCTGGGTAATCTAGGCAATACTTTAACTGCGAATAGATCATATCGAGGTCTGTGTTTCCTTTAAGTTTACTTGAAAGAAGATTATAAATGCAATGCAAAAGTTACGAAAAACAACTTCAGCATATTTATTAAACAATATATTCCGTTTCACGTCATCTTTTATCGGGCAAAATTACAGTACAAACCTGCTTAAATTTCCCACTCTCTCTATTCGGTTTAACAGTAAAAGTAATCCCGCATTCGTGTTTCAATGCACTCTCACCAAATACAGCATTCAAAATTGTGGTATTTGTAACTTCATTTTCAACTACTTCGCGATATGCGACCTGCAATATAATTTGAGTTGGCATAATAACAACAGAAGGCTTAACTTTCTAAGACTGAACTCCCAAATTGTTCGACATTTTTTCATCTTTTAATAGTTAAACAAATGAGGGATTCAAAAACCTGCAATGACCCCATGAAAACATTCAAGCCATAATCACGTCGAAGCCTATCTCTGATAACTTCAATATGCAGTTCTCCCATTGCACCAATAATCGTTTGACCTAATTCACTGTTATATTGCACTTGCAAAGATGGATCTTCTACTACTAGCTCTTGCAACGCCTATAAAATATTCAGTTCAAAAACATTAATTGATTTACATTTTTGATGCAAGATTTCGCAAAATCAGTGAAGTGTATGCTGTGAACTTACGTTGCTTGTATCCAAAAAACAAAATAATAAATCGGAAATATTCAGTTAACTTTAAAATTTATTATTTCAGGCAGAAACCTTGAAACAACAAATTGAAAACTAATTTATAGAAATCCAGTTAATCTAAGTAACGAATTTATAGAAATGAAATAACAACCATTTAAACTTCCTGCCTTTTCAAACTTCACATTAGATGCTTCAGACGGTGCCTCAACAGTGCAGAAATAAACTGGATCAGGTGCTTCAATGCCCGCTAGTAAAACAGATTTTACGGAACCAACTGAATGTCCAGGATCACCTGCAGACTTTAAAATTGTCGAATTTGCTTTTGCTCTTCGAGAACCAAGCAAAATTTGATTTAAATCTATATATGACCATCAATTATTTTAAAATCATTAACATCTCACAAAAATGATGAACTTGCATAAAATTTGACTAACTTTCATTAAAGAGTCAAATAAAAAACTTTTACTTTGGAAAAACAAATTATAAGCTTCAACAAAATCTTCAGCAGATAGCTTCCGACGTCTTTCACTTGCCATTTCAGCTGCTCGTTTGCTTGCAACAAGTGTATCGCCCGTAACTGTAGAGTTCATACCTGTTAGAACAGCGATATTTCCAGCCTGTAACGCAATTTCATAAAAATCGTAGTAATAAGAAGTTTTATCCTTTATTCAATATTGTAAAAATTTACTAACAGAAGGGTAGAAAATTTTTTTAATCAAAAACAAGATAAAACGAAGAGTAAATTCAGAAACTAAAATATGGATTTGAATAATTCAGTCAACAGACATTCCAGAATGAGGAAATCGGTGTAAATACAGGATTTCAAAATCGCCTGATAAAAAACCTTGACAGATGAAACCAATTGGAGTTGATCACTGTGCGGAATATGAACATTAAATTTATTTTCTACATTACCCTTGTTAACATTATATAACGAATCCATATTATTGATTTCGCCGGTATAAACACGTACATAAGTTAACTGTCCAAGTCTTCTGTCATGTCTAATCTGAAACATCTAATATGAGCAGATGAAAGAGACGCAGCAGTTTGCTGGTAATCTTTGTCTATTTGAAACAAACAGCATTCTATTTCTTTCTAGATGCTCCAAATTTTTATAATTATGTTAATCATTAAATGCATTAGGGAGTTTAACCAACTTGGTGTCGCTGTCTATAATTCGATGAAAACTGTTACAGAGAATGACAAGTGAAAACTTTAACAACTCCCATATCTACCATTTATTAAAGTTAATTAAAAAAAACTGCCCTGGGTGAACAGTAGGAAACGAAAACTCAACCAATTAAAATCCGACTAAACTGAATGAGATGTAAACCAGACTAAGATGATGGATATAAAAAAAGGCACAGCATGTCCTTGAACATTCCAAGTAAACATATAACCATAAGAAGTTGAGAGTAATAAATAAATCAATATAAGCTAACCTTAAATACCAGGGCACTTAAGTCGTTGTCAAAAACTTTATTAACAAGATCATTCTTCTCTGTAGGACATGGCAAACAGTTAATGACCAAATCAAGGACTGGACTTACACTTTGTACACATCTGCAAAACACTGCTGCAACATTTCTGTGCCAATTTGGATGATGAGATCACAACACAACCTACCTTAACGCTGATCCACAAGCCACTGGAACAACCTGGTGAGTAAGTGTAAGTCGTCTCATAGCATTAAGCGCTTCTGCATTCAAAGCATCATCTTCACCACTGGTTTGCAAAAATATATCAGCAAAATGGTCATCCAAATCCGCCAATTTTGAAAACATTTCTTCGCGAGCAGTCATCATTTGTTCAAATCCAAACATGAAACAGTTATCAACTCCGTCATAGTAGCTGTTTTTTGAGAATCTCCAAATTATGTCCTTCAAAAAAAAAAAATAATTATGTTTCGGCCATTACTTCACCACATATATATATATATCTACATGCATATGTATACATATATATACACATATATTGTCGGAAAAACTCCGAAAATCATAATGCAAATTTTCTGTCGGATTACGGAAATTAAAGCTACGTTCAAACAAAATTTCCACAATATCCAACAAACGGGGTGACGAAATCTTGTAAGTAAAATTAAAGCAATGACAAGGATATAAGCTAACAATGGACAGCGTAAAACAAAAACGTCTCAGTACCTACACAATGGACAGTGCCAAAGGCTAGCCATACCTCCATGATAGCCCCGATGGAGCTTACAAAACTCCCTAATCCTCATATATATACATGTATATATATATATATATATATATAGAAAAAAATCCCAAGACAGACAGTTCAATTCAGTTTTTACAATCGAGCAGACGATACACCCTCTTCGCTTATCCGCCACGGCTAAACCACAATCAACAATATCTTCGCATATCCATACCATTGGACAACAAACTACGATATTCTTCTATTCGCTAAATACATTTCCCGTAACATGTTCCCAACTCAACGACTTATCAACTAACCGACAGTCAAATTATTGTCCAAGGCAACGACAAGTTTGTTAGTCGATCATATTACTTG